TTTTCCTCAGACTCCTGATTCAAATGCTAATTTCAGAAACAGTCACAGCCCAACCAGGAATAGTGTGTAGTCTGGGCACCCTCCAGCCCAGTCACAGGGCACATACAGATCACTTCTGTACACACGTTTTCTTTCTTTCTTTTTTTTTTTTTTTAATGTGTTTAGTGCAGGGTCTACAGGGTCTCACTACACAGATCGGACTCATAGTGATCCTCCTGTTTTCAGCCTCCCAAGTGCTGGGATTACAGGCGCGCACCACCTCACTGTCTCAGCTTGCCCGGGGAGCAGGGAGTGCACAGCGGGGATCCAACCCTGGTCCCTGCGCCTGCCCACGCAGGCACTTTAATCCACTGAGCTATCTGGCGAGCCCGCATACAGGTTTTCATACTGCATTTTGACTAGAAAGTTCTCTCTGAAGAAACCGTCTGGTCCACACAGGCCCTTGCGCTTGCCAGGGAAGCGCTTATTCCCCTGAGCCATCTCCCCAGCCCTAGTGAAGATCACTTTTAGCATCATGAAGTTGACAGCAGGGTGCCTCGGACAGGCGGATTCCAGGCACGGCCGCGGCTGCTAGCAAGGCCCTGCAGGGTTCAGCCGGTGCCAAGGGAATGGGCGGCTCGCTGGCCAGCCTGAAGGAGGCGCGCTCAGGGCAGGTCTGTGCCCGCGGAAACCGCAAGGGGCGCAAGGGGCAGGCGCTCAGCGCGGGCCTTTCGGGTTTTGCAAGGTGCACTTCCCAGCGCGTGCCCCGCTGGGCGTCTGCGGAAGACCGACAGTAGCAACTCGGGCGGAGGCGTCTCCGGGCGCCCGTCCGCTCCGGTGGTCACGGAGGTGGGACGGGGTCTGCGTGCGGGCGTCTGTCCTGGGGTTGCGGCGGTGCGGAGGGCTTCCTGGCCGGGAGCTGCGGGGCGCCGGGCGGGCGGGCGGGCGGAATGCGGAGGAGGAGCACCGGCCGGGGGCTGCCGCCGTCCACGCCCGGAGGCGCCCCCTGGCCTGGGATGATCCCCAGCGAGCGAGCGCGCAAAGCACCGCCGTGGGTGGGGTGGCAGGAGAGGGTGTCCTGCACCGGAGCACGGCCACGCTGTCGGTCGGTCTTGCTGGCTCCCGCCCACCTCCGGCCCGAGCCGCCCGCCAGCTCCGGGGTGCCAGGCCCTTGCGGCTCGCGGCTCCCTCAGGCCCGCTCCCCGCGAGCTCCCGGGATGTTCTGTCCTTTGAGTAATTCTAGGTCGCTGTTAACTGGAGGTTCGCTTCTGAGTTAACAGATTTTTAAAAATATATGGGCTTAGAACTTTAGCGCTTAAGAATTCTTGTTACAGATTCTTTACCTTGCATTTTGACACTTGTGGCTTTTCGATTGAATGAGTTACAAGTTTCATAGTTCTGATAGCATCTTTCACTAGAAAAATTTCTTAGAGACTTATGCGCCATGTATACCTGCTTTAACGGTTTATTAATAAAGGCATCTTTAATAAATGTGGTTGGAAAACTTCTGGTGGTTTCTGTGGCCATCACGATATTTTTCACATATTTATTTCACTTTATATTTAAAAAATATCGGGAAATATTACTCAATTTTTAAAACTTTTAAATAATTAATTAATTTGGTATAGCTGGGGTAGTCTCACTACACAGCTCAGACTCATAGTGATCTTCTTGTCTCAGCCTCCCCAGCGCTGGTATTACAGGCGTGCATCACCACGCCCAGTTACGGTGGTCCGCATGGCATGCCTGGGGTTCCAGGGCCAGCACAGCATGCAGTGCTGGGGATCGAAACCAGGTCCTTGTGCTTGCCAGGCAGGTGCTTAGACTGCCAAGCTGTTTCCCCAGACTCAGGAAATATTACTGAGTTTGATGATTATAATAAGCTATAAGGGAAAAAAGTCAGATTATAAATAAAAAATAGCACTATTATAATGGATGGATATATGAGACATTTTTCATACATATATATGGATATATATATATATATATATATATA